AAGCCGAGCAACCACAACACGACAAAGCACGCAAAAAACAATTGAGGTCCAGAACGTGACTCAGAGAGCCCTACAAAGCGTTTCGACGTTCTTGACACGTCGAGACCCTCGAGAGGCATGGACAGGAAGCCATAACCCTAGGCCGCTCGAAATCAGAAATCAAGGTCCAAAGCACATCTCCAACACCACGAAATTTTTTCGTCTAATACACGTGCCAACACTACTGCACTTTTATTCTACACAAGACAAAGGCAAGACAGGTACGTGTGAAAGCCCCTCGACAACAAAAACGCGGCCCACCTTTTCCACATTTTCCACCACGCCGACGGACCATCCACATCGACGGAGCAAGCCCACGCTCGGGTCAACACCGCACCCTAACCTTACCCTTCCGCCACAAGACAGACCAACAATAAAACGAAAAGTCACCAGGCCCCCCGCTGACACGCGCGCGTGCATGCACGCTACCCGTAAAAAAACAAAGAACAGACAAATGACAAGGACAACCTCCCTATTTGACCTAGATAACTGTTTACAGAAGTTTCGCATACGGTCCGGCGTGCACGCACGGAAACACACGCAAAGTACCAAGACCTCCTTCTCCCCCCTACTTACATTTCATTTCGTGGAGATCCCTCCCCCTCCCCCTCCCCCACCCCCGCCCTCGGCAACATGTAATCAGCCGAGTTCATGAAAGTCCCGTCCGACCACTCACGCTTCACTGACGTTGCCAGAGAGCCGCTCAATCGCGCGCCGCGTTGTTGCTGTTCGTGCACTCCTGGCTCCCCCGGGCACGCTTATTCCCCGTCCCCTGTGCGAGAGCATGCCTCCGCGCGAGACAAACACCCGGCCGGCACTCTACGCCACTCACTCACATTTTTGGAGTAAAAAAAGCCAGGAGCAAGCCGTCCCAATCCCTATACCAGGAGCAAGCCGTCCCCGAAAGAGACACAAAACCTCGAGCCCCCCCCCGCCCCCCCCGGCGAATGTCTCTCTCACTCACGCCACTCGTCCCCACCACTTACGCTCCATTGACATCCTTCCCACACCATTTTCAAACGCCGTTGAAACGCCGTCACCCCCAACAAAAGCGGATAGCGTACGCGGGGGGTGGGGAGGGATAATCTCCGCCGTAGTTCCCCCATCTTCCCACTGCAACGCCTTCACCTCCAACGAGAGGATAGTGCGCGCGGGCGGGGCATCGTCTCGTCCATACCCTCCCCCCCCCCCCCCAAAAAAAAATGAATAAAAAAATCCCACCTCCCTCCATCATCACCGCCGCTGGTGGGACGACGCGGACGCCGGTGAATAGGCCGACTTTGTCGACGAGCTCGTTCCTTCCTTGTGGGCGAAGATCGACACTACAGGGTCAGAGGCGCCGGCCGCAAGCAAGAGCTTGTTCGGGTGGAACGCCAACGCGGTCACGCATCCCAATCGCTGGTCGAAGAACCCGGAGTGCTCCTTGATTCGGGACATGAGGTCGCCACGCGGAGTGATGATCTGCGGAGA